ACTCTCCACAGGTATGCGAACATACTGACGACTGTATTTGGAAGGTGAAGCACCTGCAGCATCTGTTAGAGACCTGAGACAAAATGCGTCTTTAGTATATAGTTCCTCAGTAACAAGCTGTAGCAATGCCACATACAGTGCAGCAATGGTAAGTACAATCATTCTTCCAGTTCTAAGAAAACTGGCTTTCGGAAATGTGTTTTAGCAAGTGTACTCCAGACAGGCTGCATTCTAAGCACGTTTTTTTGTTTTGAGTAAGTCAGTCACATTTGCACATTTTGAAAGTGCTACCATTTCTGGTAACTGTTCCCTTTGAAAGTTAAGATGGATAGCATATTCTCTTCCCACCCATTTTTTTTTTTAAGTGAAAAATTAGAGGAAATCTTTATTTCATGCTTTATTCAACTTCCATCAGCTTTCTCAAGTTTGAATATACAAGTGATAAAAATATTCTTCATACACCTTAAGAAAAATATCTTGCTTCTAGAAGCTGATTTATCAGTATAATTCACATCTGACACTGATTTGTCACCTATCCATTAATTACCTTTTCCTTTTGACCCCAACAATATAATTTCCTCGCATCAAACTTAGTATAAATTGAAGAATCTAAAAAGGAAAAACAAAAAACCAAAAACTGGTCAGCATGGCAATCCTAATATTAAATTATTAATTCAGATTTTACTACAAAATTAGGTAGTTATGTGATTGAAATTAATAGGTAAATTAAAAATCAATTTGTGTTCATGTCTTAAAAAACAAAATTATAGTTACAAATGGCATTGAAAAATTATTCCACTTGGACAGGTCGTGGGTTTTTTTTTTTTTTTTTTTAAATGTATTATAACATCCACTAGAGGATTCCAGACCAGAAACAGCTGAGGGATAAACCAGAGAAAATTTGTTCCAGTGCAGAAGCTCCTATAGTTTCTGGGTTCCAGTTGACTTCTTGAGTGGTCTTAAGTCTGTCTTGGTCCAAGATCTTTCACCAGACTCCATTCCATGTTCCTGCAATCTCTTGTTTTAGGCTCCTGTTACCATGCACTGCCTCCAGCCCCATGTTTACCCCACGTCAGCTTGATTTACTGATTTCTTTCCAAATAAGATTCACTGAGATTTCGGACACATTGAAATCCTTTTCACTATGACTTTTCCTTATTATTTTGCTTGTGGTTCTTTGCTGTGCTAACTGCTGGGACACTCAGGAACTGTGAACATTTTCTTTACGCTGTATTAATATAGCCTGTTCAGCTCTGTGTCATTTGTCATTCTACATAAGCAAAGAATGCCATCAAGTATCACAGAGGCAGGAATAAGGATGGTAGCACTGAAGATGCTGCAATGGTACCTTAGACAGCAGCTTCTGTTGTTGACTGTGCTTCTGCCTTAGAACTGCCACTTCTTTCCACAGGGCCTTATTTTCTCTGCAATGCAGAATAAATCAGAAGACAGAGGATGAACAGAGTTTACTTTATATGCTTTAGTTTTACAGCTTTCAAACTTTCACAGTACCTTGCAGTACCAATGACCTTGACCAATGGCAACATTCCTTCCGTGGATAACTAACAATCAGTTAATCCAATCCACTAGTATAAACTCTGGGTTAAATTAACTCAATTTTCCATCAGGCAGGACCAAACACTCACTAATAAGGGCATTCTCATCCTCTGCTGCTCCACCAATAATCTTGATCTGAGGTACTCCTTCAAAACCTTAGAATAAAGACTTGGTGTTTGGAAACAGGCTGAGTGTAACACAGACCACTTCGGGACAGTTTCAAAGTTCATGTTTGAGGGTTTTTGGTTGTTTTTTAAAGGAACAGAGGGAGTGGAGTGAAGGCATCTCCTGAACTTTGGTTTACCTGCTTGCATACCAATGATCTGAATGAATTACCAGTGCCTATAGAAGAAGGATCTGAGAGAACAGACATGAGAACATGCAAAGTCCACTTCCAAATAGAAAGAAAACCAAAGACTAATTCTCCCTCACTGCATCTAACCCCGTTTTGTGTTTAGAAAAGGAAATGCTTTGATCACCCTAAAAAATTACTCCAGGTGAGGCAACCAAAATGAAATCTCAAGATAGTCCAACTCTCAGTCTTAATCTCTGGTTTGTTACAGAATTATAAAACCAAACAAGATTCAGAATGTTGTATGGGGTGGAATGGGGATTCTTAGAAGGAACTATAACTGCACCCATTTCCAGTTCAAATGAAACCCACATTTAGAGTCAAGCTCTGTTAGATATAAACAACATTCAATGTATTAAGTGCCTCTGAAACAGACGGGAGTCTACCTCTTCATGTTAGCTAGTCTGATATCCATGTTGTTCTGCTGCTCTCTCATTTCCTGGACTTCGGAGAGTACTTTGTGCAGATCCTCCGTACAGACCTTGAGATCCTCAGTTCTTACTGCAGATACCTAAAACAGAACCAGGTTACACATGCTTTACTACAAACACTGCCCTGCATACTCCTTTCTACAGGAACAGTGTAGCTACTCTGTGGAAGAACAGGTACAAACTCCATTGAAAGATTAGGTAATGCTATAATTCTTATGTACCATAAAACACCGTAATTGCTATAGATGACAGTTCTTAGGACAGTCTACACTGTATGAAAAAACCCAAGGTGTCAATGGAAACATGAGATTAGCACTTCGTACGTGTAGACAGTAGATTCACCACTGTAACTCATGACAAAAACCCACCACCGACTGACAGTGGCCTTCCCGCGGGGGTTCTCTCTGGCAGGCCTGGGGACAACTCGCCCTCTAGTGTCACATGGTGGGACACCAGCCAAAACCAAACCAGGCGGTGGACTAAGAGCAAGATGATCATATTCCTCTTAGGCGTAGGTAAATCTGCCAGCACAGGAGGAACAAACTTCCATTACGTTTCCGGGCGGGGGGAGAGAAAGGGAGAAGTTGTCTAATTAGATGCATCCTACTCGATGTGAAAATTTGTCCCACGCCACTCAAATTGCAGATTCCTGTATTGGTGTTTCCTGTATTACCTCTCTACTCAGTGACATTCCAAAATTATGGAGACTTGTCTCCAGAAAGTTAGAGTCCAAACTGCTCTTCTGCCCACAGCAGAATCCATGAGTGCCACCTCTTCAAACGATGGTGGAAGAGTAATCAGAAAACAAATCACTCACTCTCTCCTCCCCACACTTCCATATTCAAAGTTTTCCAATTCCTTCAGCAACTTTCTCTGTGGTGGTGGCACTGGTGACTAACATACAATTCAGGATTTTGAAAGATAGGTCTGGTGCATCACACATCTGAATGATATGTCCGGGTTTTGTGGGCATAATTTTAAAAATAATTTAGCCAATTACTGACCATAATTGAACCAAATAGAGTTGCACCAGATAACCACCAGATGTCCCTTCCAACCTGCAGCATGCTATGCATTTTCTTATTATTGTACTAAATTCCAAGGGGGAAGTGAAAGCATCTGGGATTGGCCCAGTGAAGTGTTAGACAACTTCCATGCAGGTTGGCTCACAGATCCCTTTTTCCCCAAAGGAGAATGAGATGGTCAGAAATGGACCTATGGTGTTATAAAACAACATCCCATCACTTCATGATGAAACAGAACCTAATTGTTATGCAATCATGCCACAGAAATAATTAACTACTTTCTTAACATAACCCAGTGTTGCAAAGGATGGACTGAATGGCCTCACAGTTCTCCTCTCTGTTTACAATTTTAGATGCTTCACTATTCATTGCAGATAATACCTTAAGCTGTATCCTAAGTGAAATTCATGGCCATCTGATTTCTCTTCAGCATACCACCTCTTCATGGGGAAGACACCCAAAAGCTGCAGAGAGCAGGCAGACATTTCAAATGCAGTCAGCCTGCCTCTAAAAAAAGGGCCAAATGACAACATTCTGCCAAAGTGCAAGGAATTGCTCTTTCAGAGTCTCTAACTAAATAATAAGGGTGTCAAGACTGAAGCACACCAGTAGAGGTAACACTAAAAGGGAGTAAAATAAAGGAAGTCCTTCATTCAAACTTCCACTCCTGTTAGAGGCTTGAAATCCAGGTTATAGAAAGTACTGAAATATGACTGCAGGCAGTAAAAGAGCAAGAAAAATGAATAGACCTTTTGCAAAAATCAGTAACACTTCCTGTGCAACAAATAATAGGTTTCACCAACCTATTCAATAGTTTCATATAAATGTCCTTGGCACTAACTAGAGCTTTTGTCTTTCCATCTAGAACACTCCACCCAGTGCAACACTCTTGGGATACATGGTGCCATACATAACGTCATCAGCTGACTGCCCCAAAATACCAGAAAGCAAGGTGTGCATGCCAAGACAAGTTGGCGATTACAGCATCTGGGAAGAGCACAGGACTGAGTCAGAAGCAACTGTTACAACTACATTTAATCAATTGGGATTCTGAGCAGAGACAGCTCAGTAAAGAATCAATCAAAACACAATTGTGACTCTAAGCCTACCCTGTGCTTTTATTAACTTGGGCAATGTAGCTACCACATTACGCCATTGTAAAGAAAAGATTCTGCAGTTCAAATGTCAACATGATGTATCATGATACCCTCTTTCTCTGGCAGCCAGGATATTATGGGCTGTAATGTGCCAATAGAGGATAAATATTTGTGCAGAAACAGGTCAGACAAGGCCTGAACGTACAAAAGAGAACTGGAAAGCACTAATGAAGATGTAGCTTAGTGACAACATAGTTTTGGAGGAACAGCGTAACTTATGCAAACTCACCCAAATAAACCAATTACTGATGTCCTTGCTAATTTTCAATGAGCACCAAATGGGAATGTATTTTCTTTTACTTCTTTCGCTTTGTGACTCTTTCCAACACTACTATGCTGGCAGAATTGAAGACCGTACTAGGCTGTAATCGGGTGTGTGAACTCTGGAGTGGAAAAGGGGCTCTAGATTGATGGCTGTGAAGAATGTGGTCCTACTCCACCACACTGCTGAACAACAGCAAGGTGTGTTTTGTCTAAGAGCTGGCAGGAGGAGGCCAAGCCAAGCATTAGCCTGGCATTCAGGAGGGAGTTACAAAGGTTTGCATCATGATGCACAACCTTGGTTCCCATGGAATTTGTTGGCTGTAAAGTGTTTGAAAGCCCCAGACATGCTCTTGATAAGCTACTTTTCATAACAAAGTGAAGTAAATACCTAAACATGCTTAGACTGTACCTTGCGCTTGATGTTTTCCAGCAAATGTGCCTTCCCTTGTTTGAAGAAAGGGTGCTGGAACTCAATGACGGAGCTTTTCTCTGCTGTAATCATACCGTTCTCCAGAGCAATCACCTTCCTGAAACCATCTGTGGAGAGGTATTAACGAAGTCATTTCTTTCAGTGCAAAGCTGACTGTTACAACACAGGGCTAAAGAAACCCCCAAGGCTACTGATATACCTGCATCACGACAGTTACTGGGAGCAGAAATTATGAAAAACAGCCAAAGTAGCTTTTCTTTGGTGCTCAATAATTTGACTGCTCTGATCTTCACAGCTAGAGAACACGTCCACAATACCATCAAATGACCTTGCAGGCTGTAAGAACAGCATGCGTGGCAGAGACCAGCTAGTGTCCGCAAGCAGGACAGTGATGTCCAAATAATCACAGAAGTTAGAAATGAGATTTATTAGGATATCTTGAATAAAATCTTGTCCCAGTGGAAGCAGAGGAATGGTGCACTTTCCCTTTCATGTCCATCATCCCAGACAACTACATGTCAAAATAAATGCTGTCATGTACCACCGGGGTCTACAGAATAAAGGAAGGAAGAGAAAGTAGTTCTCAGCCTATGCAAACACATGCAGAGTACTTAGTCCATACCAGACTGCCTGCATGAAGACATTGGCAGCACTATTTCCATCACTGCTTCCAGTACCACAGGGCAGATGCAAGATACAGTTGACAGACCAACCAATTTCTCTCCTTGTTCAAGTTTTTAACATAGTTAATGTATTCCAGTTCCACTGCACCCCAACAGCACTATCATTAGGAAACTCTACTCAAAGCTGGGATAGGTCCAGCAGGAAAAGGAGGCTGCCATCACATTACATGTCTTTATAGGAATATTTGCATTTCAGCATTCACCCTTGCTACAAGGCAACTGACAATTGTTCACATTATCTTTTGACACTCACATGGTAGAGTCTCAACACTTGACACAAACAGCAGCATCCACGCTGTATCAAGAGGCTAACTGTATGCTTTCTCTCTCGTGTCTGACAGAATCTAAATAGGCATCAGCTAGAGAGACCAGGTAAGCCTACCAGGCAAAGAGAGAGAGTTCCTCCCCCTTACTCCGAATGGAAACTCTAAATAAGGCAGCCATCTTCTGTGCTGTTTGTACTTTCACTCAGCCCATAAACTATCTGCTGCAAAACACCTATTTCTGCTGTGTGTTTCAGCCCTGCACATTGTACTACATCTTTGAATTACCACCTCACTCCAGCTTCTTTGCCTGTACAAGTTGTACATGTGTTATACAATGGACGCTACATGATGCTCACAAGTCAAACACAGAAAACATAATGAGAATCTTAGTCCAGCTCAATCCATCAGCATGACTAATCCTGTTTCAGCACAGCAATGCAGGGAACAATATGATCTAGGCGATTTTTTTTCATACACTAGATGCATGGGTGTAGATACGGCCTTTGTTCCTCTAGGTATGCGTAAGTTTGCTGTCACCATTACCATTAACACTACCACTGGAGCAAAGTGAACTCTACCCAAGCTTCAGGTACCAGCACATGAAACAGTATTTTTATCATCGTTGCTCAAAAGGACTCAGAACTGAAACACAGAAAACAAAACTAAGCCAAGCTCTACTGTTATTCTTTTCTTTTGCAAAGCAAACTCAAGACCAGGATTCAGGTTTTCAGGAATGAAAGACCTGCCAAGTCAATTGGTTTGTTTAAAGAAATTCAAATTGATGCCAACTAGCAATGAACTCGTCAGAAAGAATACGTAAGAACAGCTGATGCTTACACATGTTAAGCTGTCGTATGAAGCTGGAGATATTGTTGTGTTTGAAGTACTTGGGGAGTAGCTCCTTGGCAAACCTCTGCTCATCCAGAATACAGAAGTTCTCACCATTCTAGGAAATAAGCAGAAGTAACAGTTAGAGAACAAGCACAATTTTTCTAAGGTATTGCTCATAAATCCTGACCACGAATCAACACAGACAGTTCTCACAACAGGGAAGGGCAAGACATTTAGCAAAGGGAATTGTCTGAGTGAGCACTTCTGAGTACTTGGGACTGTACTAGAAAGTTTGAATCCAAAAAGATGGTTACATGGAACACTTCCATTGAATGGGGGATTTTTGGAAAGCCCTCAAGTTTTGATCTGAATCCAAAGAAAAATCGTTCTAAAACCCCATGTATCTGCTGCTCTCTTTGTCCACAGGAAACATAAATATTGCTCTAGCACAATGGAATTAATGCCACTAGAGGGCTTTTGTCTGCCTTGATCAGCGTTTGCCCAGCTCCTGACGAGATTCTTCCATTGTATGTACTATGTCACCACTAAAAATAACCAAGTAACATTGCAGACTTAATAAAAGTTCAGACAACACAACCCAGCGGTGAAAAAGGGTAACTGTGACACAAGCAGTTTCAGATTTATCATATTCTCAAGTTCAAATTGCCCGAAACTGGGCAGGTCTTTGCATCATTTTTATGCTGTTCACGAAGAGAACAAAAATATTGTGTTTCTTGTCATCTTTGCCTTTGGAAAGGCTAAACCTCTGGGAAAATAAATTAGGGAAAATCCCACGGATTTAAAAGCGACAGGGGACAAAAATAAACATCGTGTTGCCTGCGCATGTTTGCCATGTCCGGTGCCTGAAGGCGCACGGGACCAACAAGGCCTATCTCCCCAGTCTCAGGAAGAAAAAAATTAAAAGTTAATTACTTCTTAGAACGTCTTTTCCACCGAGCGTCACCCCTTCGCTCTAATTACGTGCGGTTGAGGTGTTTGCGCGCGGGCGCTCTCCGCTGTGCGCGGCCGGATCTCTCTGAGCGGCCACGCGCGGTCACTGCGCGGTCACTGCG